TGGGAGGGGTTTTAGCCGTAGCACCAGCGGCAGCGGCGGCGGCGGCGGCGGCGGCGGCAGGACCAGTTCGGACCGTCGGTTGCAAGTCGGCAAGGTAACCGCGCAAGGTAACCAGGATACCGACGAGTGTGCGCGCTCCCTGCCTCTCGTTTTTAAACAAATATTGACTTACACAGGCAAATAAGCTCTCAGGTAAAGAATGACGAGGAAGACGACGGGACTTTGTAATGATGAGCCGGTTAAAGGTGATTAAACTTTCATGAGGAAAGTATCTTTCCAAAGGGTTTGCTAGTTGGAGATTGGGGGGGGCCGCACGGATGAACGAAAGGGATCGTCGCTGATGGGGCTTTTTTTTTTTTTTTTTTTTTTTTTTTTGTTTTATCGGGGTTTTTTTTTTGCTGTGTGCATACGGAGGCAAGGCTGCGTATGCTAATGCTATGCAAACACCACACAAATTGACTTTTCACATTACTTGGGAGGCTGAAGCGCAAGTATGACTCTTCACATTTTGGACACAGTTCACAACTGACTTACATTGTAGCAGCACAGCGGGAGTTGAATCCATCTTTTTTTTTTCCACCTTGGTAGTCAGGCAAAGGTGAAGCCGTTTTTTTTTTTTTTTTTTTATAAAGCAGCAGTTTGAAACCGTAGTCAACGACATTGTCGCATCTTGGATGGATTACTGGAAGGCGTTGTGCTTTTGAGTCAGCCAGTCCTCCCTCAAATGTCTCCAGTTGGGTCAAAATGCTGCCGCTCACTTCTTAACTGGAACACCGAAGAGGGAGCATCGAACTCTGGCCTCTCTTCACTTTAGAGTTTTTAAGATTTGATTTGTTACTATTCAGAGGTGCTCCATCCTGAGACTTTTGGAAGGCAAAATGCAAACAATTAACCACAAAGGGTGAATAAATGGTGAAAAAATAAAAGAAATCCTAAACTAGCCTCGTCACACTCAAACTCCTAATACGACTGATGCCATTTTTCAAATTCCATTCATGATACTACTTTTAATAACAATCCAGTACTGGTAATACTTGGACCTACTTATTACTGCTAGGAAGGCAAACTATACTGACAATACCAACAATGAGAATACAGGATACTAATAACACTCATGCTTTGTACTACCACTGATGTACTTCATTCGGGGTTGAAATGTGGAACGAAGGAAGGATTTACATCATATACATAAACATACTCTCAGGAGATCACAACAATACGGCGTTTTATATTAATGACCGAATACCACAATACTTATTCACCTTGCGCCACGTATTGAAATGAGTTATCATCAAAATAAAACCGTTCCAAATTGGAATTTAAAGTCCGAATCGGTTTTGTCGTGAATGCTGATTCGAATTTCCAAATGACCAATCCAAAGCGCACATGGCCAGTGTCCAACTACACTTCTGCACCGATCATCATTATCCAAAATGAAAGCGGCTTTGCGTTCATTTTCGCTGCTGCGACCGACACCAGCAAAAAAAAAAAAAAAAAAAAGCTACTTAGTCGGCCAACCCAGAGAGGGAACAAGCCTCGGGCATTTGCATGACTCTTGATTATCAGTAACTGTCAGAGGAAACAACACGCGCGCGCAGACACACACACACACACACACACACACACACACACACACACACACACAC